GATAGGCTCACGTCTCTGATATTACCCCTCATTCAAAGGGATGGAAAAAACGTCCCTTCAGCTGCTGGAGGTGGTGGGATTCTTCTGGGAAAATGTGGCATTTGATCACTCAGCTATTATGCTCCATGCTAGGTACTTGCTATGATCCGCTGCCAGACCAGCACTCAGGGCTGGATGGATATTTGCTGTAGCTCATCCATCATTCACAGTTTCTGAGATCATCAGGGACTGGTTTGACTGCAATGTGGGAAACCTGTTCAACCACATGCCTTCACAGGGCTACAGGGACTGTGTCTCCCCAGCAGAAGATCTCCCCCTGGCTTTCCCCCTTGGCATGCACAATTTTCAGTCCTGCATGGTGAAGGCTCTACAGAAACGGAGACATGGCCTTTGCTGCCTCCTCATGGATGTCAATTTGATCACAGGACATGGAGTTTGAAGGCCATGCAGACTTCCTGAGCTGCATCCAGCCTCACCTGGGAGGCCTGGAGCACCTATCCTTCTTGGGACACTCTCCCACTGGTGCATGGGGAGGTGTTTGCCAGGCCATACACAGCATGGGCTTCAAAGCTAACCAGACACTGATGGGTGTCTCCTGCTGCTGGACAGGAAAACCAGGCTCTGGAAGATGCTTGATTGTCTGGCTGGCTCTTGGGATGTCTCAGATTCTCCTACAGCTTTATGCCATCTAGGAACAGACCTGCATAGCCTGCTTACATCCCCTCAGTTTAGCTCACAATTTCCCCAGGCATTAATGCTGATGGAAAAGAGGAGCTCCCTGAGTCCCCACCACAGCTCTCCACGTGGAAAGGCTCCTAGCTCACCTCCTTTGAGACTGAACAACATAATCATTCTGCAGTGATATTTAAAATTCAGTTATGAAGGTACTTCAAGACTTCAAAATGCATTTTGTAAGTGATATGTATTTCAAACAAGGTGTGTTTTCTTAAGATCTGGAAATCTTGCCCTGCATGTACTCTTCCTTTTTAACAGTGATTTAAATTAATTTTGTTTCAAAATAATAACCATATCAAAAATTTTTAAGTGTGGAGGAATCATGTCCATCATCCAGGCTTTTTTCCTAGAATACAATGCCAGCTACCTGCACTGATGAGCGGGAAGCACGGGCCTTGTTCAACGTCCTCCGTCGCTCCCAGCGGTAGATGGAGTCCTGAACCTCCACGCTCAGCTGCCGCGTGACAGTGATCTTGTCGTAGTTCCTGATGTGCTCCAGGACCCCATAGGTGGTGGTTAAATAATAGGAACCTGCAAAAAGTGGAAGTCTTTTAGGAATATCCCTCTGGCATGGGCCATTCACTTCCACTCCCACCCTGCCTGCTGGTGCCTGCACAGCAGCAGCTGTCTGACCTGTGCCTCACTGCAAGGAGTGCAGGGGTGACTGATGTTACCCCAAAATAAGGAAACCTGATGACCAGTATCCTCCATCCCCTCCTGCTCCACTGCACAGCCTGCTGAGGCTGTAGATGTCCTGGGAGGGAAGGGAAGGCTGAAGGGAAACAGCTACAAAAACTGCTGTCACAAACAAGCCCAAGCCACAGATGATTTATTCTTTGGGGCATATTTTTTGTGGTGTTTGACAGAACCCATGCAACAGGTTTGTAACTTGGACTCCTAGGCAGTCTCCATAATGCAAGTAAATAGAAACAATCGTAGAGTACTCCACGGGAGAAGCACAAGGCCTGGATCCAGCCCCTCCAACTCCAGCTGCACTGCCGGAATGTTTGGATCCCAGGTCTCTATGGGCTCAGCATCACTGAGGAATATTTGGACCCCAGGTCTCCTGCAGGCTCAGCACAGGTGAGGGATGTCTCAGACCTGCACGAACAAGTCACTCTGCTCCCTCCATTCTCTGTTGTCTACACAAGAAGCCCAGGTGTTCCTCTGTAATTCCTGGTCTGTTTGGAGTTGCAGGATATATCTTGGTAAAGCAGATAAACAGGATAAAGTGGCAAGAGCCCTTTTTCCTCAGAAACCCCCAGACTGCTGTGGTGTTGGTTGAAGCAGGTAACAAACAACCAAGTGCAGCTACTGGGAAGATAAGAACCAACTTCATTCACAGAGGTGCAGATATGCCCTGGTGTGGACAGATGTGAACATGAGGAAGCCTCAGCTTCTCTGCCCCTGGACTCGGTGCTGGTGAGGCCACACTTTGAGTACTGTGCTCATTTCTGGGCCCCTCAGTTCAGGAAGGACATTGAGGTGCTGGAGCAGGTCCAGAGAAGAGCAACGAGGCTGGTGAAGGGACTCGAGCACAAGGACCATGAGGAGAGGCTGAGGGAGCTGGGGGTGTTCAGCCTGGAGAAGAGGAGGCTCAGGGGAGACCTTATCACCCTCTGCAACTCCCTGACAGGAGGTTGGAGTCAGGTGGGGGTTGGTCTCTTCTCCCAGGCAACCAGCAGCAGGACAAGAGGGCACAGACTCAAGCTCTGCCAGGGGAGGGTTAGGTTGGATATCAGGAAGAGACATTTTACAGAGAGAGTGCTCAGGCACTGGAATGTGCTGCCCAGGGAGGTGGTGGATTCCCCATCCCTGGAGGTTTTCAAGCTGAGACTGGATGTGGCACTTAGTGCCGTGGTCTGGTGACCACGGTAGGGTTGGACTGGATGATTGTCTCTTCCAACTAGGTTGATTCTGTGATTCGCTTGCAGCACAGACTCGTGCCAGGGCACTGGGTTAATCGAAGTGCTCGTTCCCCAGCTGAGCTCCTCTGCCCAGCTCGGGGCTCTCCCCGGGGCGGAGGGAGGGTGGGGACGGCGGGGCCAGTCCCGGGCTCTGCTGCACCCCCTGCCCCATCCCACTGCCAGGGAAACGGGGAGGACAGACACCCGCCCGCCGGGGCGGGATCCCTGCTCTTGCTGTCTCAGACTAATTGCCTCTAGGTGGCACTTGCACATCACACAAACCGCTCAGCATCCCGCGGCTCCCAGCGGCAACTCCAGCTCTGGGGAGTTCCACTGTTACTGTGGCTGATTGCTTAAAGATGGCTAAGATAGCACTTCAATTATTTAAGAGCAGTATTTTTAGAGCACCATTAAACTTTGGTGTAGGG